ATTTGCAAGGATGAAGACATTAGAGAGGAGCAGTTCTGCTCTTTCCAGGTGAACCACAGCATTGCTGTCATTGTGCAGAATGAGCAGCAGTCATTCTTCCTTGCTTCTTTCTTTTCAGATGTACCAACAGAAGTCTAAAATCCTATTGCACACTTTGCACATGCATATTTGTGTACATACATGTACGTGACTGTGTTTCCCATGTATTATGTGATAAATCTCAGGCAGTCAGACTCCTGACAATAAATGGGAAATAAAATGGGAAACCCACATTTCCTCAAAGAGCCCATGAGCAAAGAGCACCCCTGCTTTCATYATTGACTGCACATTCCCTTTTACAAGAGGCTCGGAAATGCCAAGCCATTTCAGCTGACGGCATCATAACAATTATTATATTCTGAACTTTACAGTTGACAGCATTTCTCAAAAAATCCGTTCATAGTGATGTTACAGACAAGGCCAGCTCTGGCACATGTATTGCTGGATACAACTCAGTAAGACTAAAAACTGGAATTGCTAGGTAATAAAACACATAACAAAATTRCTGTCTTCACAGGGAACAACACAGATAAATCATAAACTATTTTCTGCAGACACTAAATGTAAGTTATGGCAAAGTTATTCTAGTTATTTCCCTGACAAGCATCAATCATCTCTTTTGATTGATACATAATTGCAGACCTGATGAGAGCATTAACCATCTTCCTTTCAGGCTAAATGGAAGAAGAAATTAAACATCTGCTTATGAAAAGGTAGTGAGGGACAACTGGAGGCTACTGCCCAAGAAAATGGCTTTAATTACGAAGGCTTGACTAAGCCCTGTAGTCTAAAGAAGCCAGGGTTTTATTTCAGTGACTTGAATTAAAAAAAAATAAAACCTGTGAGATTTATGCAGCCATGAGAGTATTTGTGGGGAAAAGCAGGGAGACTCTTTTCTTCCCAGGCTTCCTTTCCAAGGGCATGGAACAAGCAGGAGGAAAAACAGAACTAGTGAATAAAAAGCTCCCTGTTCTGTCTTCTCTCTTGGCAGAGCAAAAGAGTTTTTTGCACGCCATTTGTGATATGTAGGATTATATCAACAAAGTGTTTGTATTCTTGGAAAATTATTTGCATAATTTTAACTTTGGAAGAAATTCTGAATTCTATTAGTTCAGCACCCAAATCTATTTAAAATATTTTTCCCTTTGCCTTGTGCTGGCTTTTCATCATTCTACTGAYCAAAACCTAGGGACATGACTAATGAGTTCAGGGTTGCTCTACCTTGGAAGGTGTCCAGGTAAGAGCTGATAGATTTATTTGAGCTGTCTTTAACACCTCGGCTTAAAGAGAAATTTTCTACAAAGAAACCAGGCTTTCCTAAGCACAAGTTGAACCACAGGGACTTTTGTGGGACGAGTGAGGTTGAAAAAAGGACAGGCAGTTAAAACAGACTACTTGTTTTGTCACAAYTAATAATCTCTTACCCTTTCTTTGTTAAATAAAGCAATGATGTGTTTAAATGCTTTGGATAAAGACCCCTGTCTGCATGCTCTTACACACCATTTTTTCTCATGGAAAGCAAAGCAGGATGCCCCTGCCTCCAGTGAGACTCTGGGAAAGAGCATTCTCTGGGCATCAGGGGAACCACCACTGTCCCTGAGAACAGGTACCCGAGGTCACACTTGAGTGGCAGATGCTGAGTAATTGGTCTCCTGGTCCCAGCTCTGAACATGCTAAAAAATCTTGCCAGCACTCTGCTTATTATCCAGAGGCTTAAAACCTCCCAACACCTTTTAAAGGCAACCTCCTGCCTGAAAGACRGGAAATGATGTGCAAACAAGAGTGTTCTGCAAAAGAGATGAGAGAATTTAGTATATATTGCAGACACACTTTAAAGGATATTGCTTTTCCTCAGCCTCAAGGTACCAACTGAATTTTGTGGTTGAAGTATTTGGCTGTACACTAGGGGAGTTTTGTAGGGTTTCTGGATCTCTTTGCCTTGTAGCTGAGACTCTTTCTCCCACCTAGCAAATCCTACCACCCACACAGCAAATAGATATCTTTTGGCACTGACTGGARCTCCATAAAATTGTACAAAGGCTCATGTGTAGTGTGTGGGGGTAAAAACTCCCTGTCACAGAGAGTGAGGAAGATAGGACAGCAATTCATTTCACTGCCACTCACTAGCCAGCAGAGCCCAGCACAGAAATCCAAGGCATATTTGTGAGAGAAAACGACGTTGAAATAAGAGTGATGACTTCAATAATACCCTCAGCATCAGTGGGGGATGCAATGATGAAGTCTCCTGAAGATGACAGTGAGAATAGTTGGATTTGCTCAGTCCAAACATGCTTGCTCTGAAATCCATCTTCTGTTTGTCAGTTTTCATGTACTTGTCCCACCAAGGACAAGCGGGAAGCTGCAATATAAATAAGATGTCTGTTGGAGAAATGTGGTGCTTGTTATATGCTTTATAAGGCAAAATCCTGCCAGCAATTGAAGTGGTGATCTGGACAGCACAGGTAACAGCTCCCAGAGAAGCACTGACTGCTTCGTTTATATTGCAAAAGATGAGAAGTGGGAGTCAAAGGAATCGAAACTACCCAAACAGGGAACTGAGATGAAGCAGAATGATCTGCATTCTAAATATGGGATTTTTTTGTCTCACTTCCAGGACAATGCCAGTAGTGAAATATTGCTTTTTCACCGAGAGAGGATAGTGGTTTGCAATATGCCGATGATTTTTTTAGTTACAAGAAGATTGCTTCTGTTTTTTGATATTCACTTRTAGCCAGTAATGTGAAGAACAATCAGAATACCTCAGAAATTAAAGAGTCTGGTGGTGTTATAACTAATAGTGTGAATATTGGTTGGTTTATACCCTCCATGGTGATGGAGAGTTTCACCAAAATAAATCCTGAGTAACTGTCAAGAGCAAAGACAAGTTTCAATTGTATATCAGTTGTGATTTGCTTTTTTTTTTCCTGTTCTATTTTTGTGTGCTTAGATATTGCAGTTGKCCAGGAGACACTTCACTCCAGTTGCTGTTAGGTTGTGTCTAACAATTTGTTGTTATTTTTATAAAGATGGCTCAGGCTGAGCTGATTGATAGACTGTTACTCTAAGAGCAACAAATTTATCCTTTCTGATGCATATTTTTAGTAACAAACCTTAAAAGTCAAATACACATTTCTAATTAACCATGTGTGAAATTAACCATGTGTGAAATTAACTATGTTGAATTAGAGGGGAATTTCACTGGATGCCTATAATTTACCAAAATGTGAAAGACAGATAAAGTAACAAACATAAGGTGTTAGCACAGTGAGACAATCCTTATTTRTAAGCAGCATTTAGCACCATTTAATTCATTACTTTGGTTTCTACTGACCATCTGTCATAGCTGCTGTCAGCTTCACAGGCCTCGTGAACTTTGCCAGTCCTGGTGTTAGACTTCAAAAGATGCTGCCACCACTGTGACCTGGATCCAGATACCATATTGTGGCAGAGTGAAACACAGAGTGGTTTTGGCAGGAGCTAGGAGAGGTTTGCCCTGTGTTTCAGGTCTGCTCCTTCCAAAGTAGCCTGCATTTAATTGGATTAACTGGGCTGAGGTCAATGGTGCTTGAAGAGGGAGCATCATGTTCAGCATCAGATGCCCTCTTAGCAATCAGAATGTTGTTACTCAGGGTCATTGGAGAAATGGTGAGAACTGAACCCCTGTTGCAAGACTGTACTCCTCTCACAAATTAAGTCCATAGCAAGACTGAGTAAATGCATTTGRTATTTCCCAAATAGCTTCTATGGCATAAAAGAAGTGAGGAGCTTTTAAAGTATAGATTATAAAAATCTTTTTAGATACCTGGAAAGTAGTGGACATTCATGAGGTGTATCAATGGCTTCATCAGTGCAGCCTGGCACAGCTGATTGCAATAAACTTTTTTTATCAAGTATTTATCAAGTATTATCAAGTATTATCTCTTAAAGAGAAGACATTCTCTTTAAGAAATGTGTGGACATGTAGTCCACATAAATTTCCTTCCTTCAGCTCACAAACATATTTTCAAGGCCTGTGGATCTTGGAATGCATATTTGTCATGTTGATACAGAGATTGTTCCTGAAACTCCCATTTATCATCTCCTATAGATGATAGCTTCTCCAGAAGCTCTGGAAAGAGTTTTGTTAACGTGTATTCTTGCCACTGTCCTCACACTGGCTGAGGAGGAACTGTTCTCASCTCTGTTGAAGAGTGTGTGCAAGAACACTGTTTTACTTCAGGGTGCAAAACACCAMGTTTCAAATCCCTGTTTGAAAATTTTCTTGCTTTCTTGAAAATTCATGTTGTGGGCTAAAATTTCCAAGTATATTTCAGATTTGGCAATAAAGGAAGTAAAAATGGACTAGAAACAGATATGTGCACATACAGATAGCACAACAATAACAGTGGTATTGTTCAGTAGCTATTATTTTTTTCAAGATTATAACAATCTGKTTATCTTAATCCTGTTATTTTGACATTTCATATAAAATTATTGTGTATTTATGGTATAGGTGACCTGTTACTTATCCCTGATCTGTTTATTATCAAGAAYAAGACTTGAGTACATTTTGCAAACAACACTGATAGATGTTATGCTTTCTATATCTCTTTAGCAATCTTTTGCTGCCCTAGTGAACACAGAAAATGCTTTGTGAAATAAAAGACTCATGGACTCCATAGGAACTAATACATTGGGAATGTATAGTAATGCAGGTGCATGAAGTTGGCAATAGCTTTTGTTTTGAGCTGTTTGWTGAGGTTAATTCTGAAGATTCTTCTCTTCCCATTGACAAATCTCTCTTGAGAGTTGTGGTAAGCTGGGCACAATCAGTCCTCAAAATCTGCTCCGTCAGTGTAGATGTTGAGCTGGACCAGCCGACGCAGTTTCATCATCTCTGCTGTGCCCAGAGGGTTTGCCCACCTGGCTTTCCCCACCTACACTGAATGCATGTGAATTACAGGTTGGTTCCTGCACTACAGGTGGACTTGTGGCAGCCCAGCAGCCCCCTGCACATCGCTGAAGGTTCAGTCGCTGACGTGCGAGTACCGCGGAACGCAACACGGAGCCTGCTGCCCTTCCTCCAGCAAGCCAACATCCCGTACACGTAAGCCCTCACTTTGCTTCCCCCTSCTCTCTCCAGAGACCTGGCCTTCCAGAGACCTGGTCTGCACCCTCCACGCCAAGTGCGCTCGAAAATACATTCCACGTCACAGCAGTTAGGCTGGCAGACAACTCAGCATTGCCAAGAAAACAACTGCTTCAGTGGCAGAGCAGAAAATCTCCCACAGGCAGGCAGCTTTAATTAAATGTCCGCATTTGGAGTCAAGCTGAAGTGTTTTCAATGTATGTGAAATCACATGTGTTGAGAGAGGGTTGGGAATTAGTAGTTCTACAGCCTGCTTTGCCTCTTTCTCTATTTAGCAGGAGCAAAGTTTGTTTACAAGTGAGCTGTAAATGTGGAGGCAAAACTTGTAYGGGGACATACTACTTCTGTTATTATCTAGTGACCAATGCAAGTTACACAGTACAAATGCACACTTAGGATCACGTATCATTTATAGTTCTCCTTAAAAAAATTCAAGACCATTTTTGTGTATACTTATTCTTTCACATTTATCCATACGATATACTGGACAAGAGTAAAGATCTTGTCATTAAAAGCCTTTTCAGTGACATGTCTGAGCATCTGAATAATCAGCTGAGGAGTTATTTGAATTCTCAAACATTTGCTTAGTACAGATTTACATGAGGTTATTTATACTTATTTCTCAGGGATAAAAGGATGGTATAAATCATACTGTAGATGTATTTATGTATACATATTTTTAGTACTCATCAGAATCCCATTTTTATTATAACAATGATCTCTTCCTGATTTGTTGTTCTAAAAATACAGAAACAAACCCGAGGAAATCAAGTGCACAGGCTCTATAGCTGCAGTTCAGAGTGACTTTCATGTGGGTTCAACACTGCTTCGGTTTTGTTTATGTTTCAAACTGAAATRGGGATTTCTGTAATTGTTTTCCTGTGCTTATAAAAAATGTTCCCTAATTACTGTGACCCAGCAGTCRTATTCATGTCTGCTGCTGTTCCTGCTCACAGTAATCACCTTTAATGAAATGACAGAGGGACATTTTATGTGTGTTATAAACACTCTCTGTGCTTCAAGTCCTCTGCTTGAGTTGCAGAGCAGTGTGCAAGGGCAAAAACTGCCAGAGCAAAGGGTCTCTGCAGTTTAACTCAAAAAACATGCTGCAAATACTAGGACAGCATTGCAATAATCTTTCACAGGGAAAATCTCTCTGATTTTTGGCATGCAAGTTGTGTCCACTCAGAAGGAAACTGGGTAGCATTGTGCCAGGTCCAGACTTGTTCTTTGCTCTCTATCTTCATCTCTCTGCTGCCTGTTTTGGATGGTCCCAGCCATCAGGAGCAGAACACTGCAAAGCCTCAACAGCATGTGCTTGTCCTGACAAACCTCCTGAGATCTGTAACTCTGCAAGGGCCAGGAGGATTCATSATGAGAGCAACAACAGCCATAGCCAGGGAGCACCAGGAGCAGGCTGGCCAAGCACAGCCATGCCCATGGCACAGTTGAGGTGGGCATGGCTGTGCTGAAGTGCAGCTCCACAGCCAAGATTTYGTACAGCTCCTTTTCACATGGCTGTTTTTTACCATTTTTTTAATCAGTTTTTTACACACACTGCAGTGGATTAAATTTCCACATTTATTTTGGAACTGGAAAATCTGAGGCCAATGCCAGGTAAAATTTCAGTGTGAGGCTTACCTAAATTATGACAAATCTACAAAGTCAGGAAGCATTTAAGCATCCCTAACAATGATCAGCCTGGCCATGAAAACAATCCAAGCCTCAGATAAACTCTGCACCAAGTTGCCTTGGTTGTAAGTTTTCTGGTAAAGAAGCCACTTAGGTTGCATTCAGACCTGAGGAACGGAAGAGCCTTTGTGTTCGAAGCACACACTATATAATCATTTAAGAGTAAAGAAATATTATCACATCTCGTTTAAGGTACAGATGCATAAGTGAACAGAGTGAGCTGGATTCTGGTAGGTGCTTATACTAATCAGAATTCTGCAAATCAGTCCAGTATCTTTTTTAAATATTAGATGTCCTAATGACTTGAGTAAAATCACTCCTTTAATCAGCTTTACAGTATGTGCCTTATAGTATACATAGCACCTTGCAAGTCAAGACTATAATCCTTTAGTTTGCTTAATGAGTGTTACTGGTGTAGAACAATGTCATTCCTAATTATACAGCTACTTCACTAATGCGTTGGAAGATGAGAATAACCTTTACTTTGATACTGYGTGTAGATAGACCTATTACCTTTGAGGTATCTGATGCACAGCGGATTTAGGAGCAGAGTAAATGTCATTTCTTTCCATCTTTTTCCAATCACTGCAGCTAATGCCTATACAAATTTAAAAGGCTGAATGGGACTGTCATTTTACAGGAATGGTGCATTAGTGGCATGGTGGTTACACATTGCCATGCTTTAGGAGAAGGGGGCATACAAAGATGACTCTCAGTTTTACAGTAATGTTGTTACAGATACCTGTGACCATATTCCCAGCTCATGCTACTTTCTGATGGGATGGATGGATGCTTGGACTTCTTCATTGTAATTAATTTASATGTTTTCTACATTATAATTTTATATTCATATCATTATTTACTTTTGCCATAAARCAGGAAGTTTTCAGCTTACAGAACTCTTTCTGCATTTTGGTCTTAATGCAAAGAACCTCTCAATTTTTATGCAAGTATAACTAATTTTCACTTAGGTTTTTTTTTTTATTTTTCCTGAGTTATTTTAATAAAACTGGCAAACAAGTACAGCAGAGTAGATAATGTAAACAACAAAGCCCACTTTATATTTTTTGGTTGTTGTTTTTTCATATTTCAGACAGAATGATATTGCTGCCAAGTTCTTAATTTTTCTTTTGCCTCTACCACTTGTAGCTATATATAATGTTTGTGCCACCCCCAAGAGGGAGTATGTGCATATTCTTCTAAGCTTAAAAAGACCTTTTAAAAGGATTGAAATCAGTTTTTGAAGATCCATGATCACATAGTATAACTGGATTATAAAAAAAGATAGCAAATGCTGCTCCATAAACAAATTAAAGTGGTTGTCACACTGGCTACATTATTTACATCATTCTGGTTTAGTCATTTAACAAATTTATTGTGTTTTTAAAGGCACTGTTACATTTCAAAGCAGCTGGAGTATTTATTTGGCAGATTATATTCAAGTGAGCCTGATGCACACTATTGTCAAAGTGTAACAGATGAAGTAAATTCAGGATGGTTTAACTYCTGCTATATTTCTTCTAAATGTGATTGTTCTTATTTAGCTTCTGTGTTCTATGAGTTTTTCAGTAATRCTGCTCTCCTTTCTTTTCCTAGGATTCTCATATCAGACCTACAGCAAGCACTAGAAAACCAAACTGGGGTGAGGGCACACAGGAATCGAAGGTCCCTCTCTGAGTATAACTACGAAGTGTACCACTCCCTGGAAGAGGTGCAYGAAAATTCATATTGTTCCTCTTATCTACTTATATATTATTCTCTTATCTACTTATATCTACTTCATATATCCCTCTTATCTACAAAGCTCTATTTAATAAGGCTAAGATTTCATTCTCTCTACATGTTCTGGTTACCTGCTCATCTTCAGAATTGTTCTAAGTGTTTCTCCTTCAAAACTAGGCTCTTCWGTGCAAAAGAAATATATTTRATATTTGTATTCAAGGCTKATCTTTACACATAACTATCTTTCACAGCATCTGAGTTTTTTTTTTAATGTTAATCTTTTACACTGGWGGAATAAGAGTGATTGGTCACACTAAGTGATTTAATTAAGCAATTTGTGCAAATGCTTAAGTATTTGCACTGGAGGTACAAATACCTAAAACACATAGATACAAACTCATGTATAAGGAATACTATCCTGGGTGATGGCTGGGTAAATAATTCCTGTTGGTTTTCGTGTGCTCACATACACATTTTCAGTCTGCACCAAAACAGTCACTAGGCTGAGCATGGAGAGAGGCTTCTTCACCTCAAGAAGATCTGGTGCCTGTGAAACAAATATTGCAGGTAGCATTGAGTTGTGCATGTCAGTCTGTTTGCCATTGTGTTCTGGCAGGCAGAATCAGGCTCCTTCTTTCTTTATTCCATTAATATTTAGTGGAAATGGTGGATTCRGCCCATCTCAGTATTTTCAATGGACAGCTCATGTGTTTTAACAACAATTAAATGGAAAAAAAATCCCATGTGAACGCTGCACCCAGCCTCTGGCAAAAGATCTATGAGAACCAAATAGTGGTTAAAATGTGAAAACAATTTTCTGATGGGATGGATGAACAAGACAAAAATAAATACTACAGGAAAATTTAAAAAATAGAGAGAGGACTGAGAGCTGAGATCAATAACTGTATTACAGTTTCTTCCCATGAAATACAAAGACTGAAGCAATGATTTTATTTCTGTATTTGCAGATTGAGGACTGGATGCATTATTTGAACAGAACTCATTCAGATCTTGTTCACATGTTCTCTGTTGGAAAATCCTATGAAGGGAGACCACTGTTTGTACTCAAGGTAAAGATTAAATAGTCATTAATGAGACTAAAATTCAGAATCAGGGACAGACACTGTTATTTATGTTACAGCACATACACCAGAGAYACAGCTTAACTGCTTCCTAAGGATGAGTTGCTAAAATCTAAGTATCCCTCTGAATGCCATATTTAATGAAAAATGGGGGGAAAAAGCTGGAAAACTAATAGCCAAATCCTATTTACCTGGACTGGATATGCATGGAGAAAGATAACAGGACGAGTTCAATTAGCAGGATTTGGATTTAAGGGGATTGGAAGGCTTTTCATTTATAGACGGGTAGGAGAGCAGTTATGCTGGAGAGGGATCCCAGAGGACTCTGGAGCCCTTCTCAGCATGTGCTGCATATTCTTCTTTAGCCACTGACAAAATTTCGGGGCTGTGTGCTCTCAGCTCACATGATTAGGACCACAAATTAGAATGTGTCAGCAAGATGCAAAAAATCTTACTTTCAGTGTATTTTCTTTTCATCTTCTGCTGAAGAGCTCTGAAAATTTGATTCTTTATCAGGCTATTCATGTAGTGTCATTGTTCCTCACCCTATTCCATGTGATATCATTCCTCATAAAAGACAAATTGACAGCTCTCACTTTTCCTACAGTTTTTTTCTTTTTTCCATAGGTCAGCCTTGTTATCTTGGCCATACCTGCCTAACATTATCTTGGCCATACCTTTTGAAACAATAAATTTGTGTTCCTTTACTTGAGGAAATTCACAATGTTTTAATATCTCTCAATTCTGTTTTTTCTCATTATTGTGTTTTTACTAATATCATAAAATCTTTTGGTATTTTGTGAATATTCACACCTCAAGTTAGGTAAAAGATCACGGCCCTACAAGAAAGCTGTCTGGATGGACTGTGGGATTCATGCAAGAGAGTGGATTGGCCCTGCCTTTTGCCAGTGGTTCGTGAAAGAAGTAAGTATTTAAAATTTACAGTCGYACTGTTCCTTCTGTTCAATAAACTTTGCATTTTTGCTGTAGCACATCTAACACACTACTAATAAGGAAAATAAGTAGCTGTTATACCTCTCTCTCTTTTTTTAATTATTTGTGGAATACTTAAGTGCTTAATAAACAAAGCTGTTAGTAACAGCCAGACACAGCTAGGCACTGGACAAAAATATGCCAGACACATACTGGCAGATATACAAAGTTGGATTTTATTCTGAGACATAAAAATGTGGAGATTGTAAATCTGGTAATGGCCCAGGTAAATCAGTGCCAGTGTGCACTGCTTCAGTTCCATTGAGCAGTGTCTTTGCTTTAAGGACTTAGTTTAAAAGAGGCATTTCTCTTTGGTGTAATTTCATAGGAAGTCACAGAATCATGAAATAGAATCACAGAATTGTTTAGGTTTGAAAAGACCTTAAAGTTCATCCAGTCCAGCAGTTAACYRAACACTGCCAAGTCCACCGCTAAGCTATCGCTGCAAGTGCCACATCTACACATCTATGAAATACCTCCAGGGATGGTGACTTAAGCACTTCATTTGGCAGCCTGTTCCAATGTTTGACAACCCTTTCAGAGAAAAGAATTTTCCCAGTATCAAAATGAATCCTCCCCTGGCTCACCTTGAGGCYATTTCCTCTTGTCCTGTCGCTTGTTACCTGAGAGAAGAGGCCAATTCCCATCCAGCCRCACCCTCCTCTGATGGTAGAGCAATAAGGGCCCTGCTGAGACTCCTTTTCTCTAAAGACCTCAGAGCCCTCAGCTGCTTYTCATCACATTTGTGCTCCAGAGCTTCACCAGCTTCATTTCCCTTCTTTGGACTCACCCCAATATCTTTTTTGTTCTGAGGAGCCCAAAACTGAACGCAGGATTCAAAGTGCAGCTTCACCACTGCCAAGTACAGGGGGGCAATCACTGCCCTGCTCCTGTTGGTCACACTATTGCTGATACAAGCCAGGTTGCCATTGGCCATCTTGGCCACCTGGGCACAGCTGGCTCATGTTCAGCCAGCTGTTGACCAACACCCCCCAGGTCCTTTTCCAACGGGCACCTTTCCAGCCATTCTTCCCTCAGCCCGTAGCACTGCATGGGGTCACTGTGACTCGACAGCAGGACCTGGCACTTGGCCTTTCCRAACAATTGTTCTCAATCTGTCAAGAATTCATCTCTCATATTTCCATCATGGCAACTATCATAGTTTTTCTGCTGTGCWATGGCTTCCAGSTCCTGTTTGCTGCCCATCCTGTATTGGTGTGCTTTGAGTACTTTGCATACCATTTTTTTTGCACAAAATAAGGGCTGCAATATGCTTTTACAAGGTTCTTCCCATAAACACACGATTTTCTCACTTTTCTTCCCACCCATCACTGTKTAATTCTACAATGTATTAATACTTMCTCTGATTTTGTGAGAGTGAACTTCTGCCTCATCTACACCCTAATGCTGAGATGATCATACARTCATGTGTGGCCTTCCCTCAGATGTCACAACGGTGTATTGGGAAAGTAGAGAAATATTGAGACCACTACAGTTTGGATGAGCCTGTCACCACGGATAGGCTACACAAGATCCAGAAGCTGATCTCCAAAGTTCAGTGTGCAATCATGGTGTGTCTTCTTATTTTAAGACTCCTATTAATGTAAAGATGAACTAACTTGCAATTTCTGTGCAGTTTTCCTGCATAGATCACGCTGCAGTAAGGAAGGAAGCTGGTACAGAACAGTACTGGTGAGAAGCCTATTGCTGAAGTAGCTTTTCCTTACCAAGGTTTTCCCATAAAGCACTACAATGTGGCAGCAGGGCAAAAATCACAAGGTTTTTCTGTACTCCTTATAGCAGAATATAGGCTGTGTGTATAAAAAACCTTCTGGTTGTTACTTGAGATCTTCAGAGAGTAGCTTSTAAGGCTGCTTCTCTAATTATGTAAAAACATTTCCCTAGATTAAAAGTAGTCTCCACAGAGTTCCTTCAGACTACAAGAATGCACAACCTTTGCCTGYCCATCCCTTCTTAGAGCATTATTTCMACCTAGCACTAAAGMAAAAAGCATCAGGAAAAGAATACAYTGTGCTCRTAGTCTCCATCATCATAATAAAATGACTGGCAAAGGAGGAGAGACAAGATGATGAGGATGGTTTAGGTTATTGCTTTTCTCATTGTATGAGTTAGACATTTTTGGTAAGAACTCTGGGAAGAGTGAAGGTTTCTCTGTGCTTCAAACTCTGCAATTCTGTTTTGCTGGCAAACTCCTCCCTTAAGCACCTCTGCAGCCTGGCAGCCCAGTTTTCCATCCTCCSTGGTACTTATGGGCAGTTCTGAGAAAGGGCTGTCAGCTTGGAAACAGATTTTTCCTGGCATGTTTGTTGACTCTAAGGAATAGCACCACAAGCCCATTGATGTAAGGCAAGCAAACAGAAATGTTGGATTTACGTGATGTTGGCGTCTTTTCTAGCAGGAACAGCATACAGGCATTCCTTTACTATGCAGGCAGCCTGAAATATTTTACCAAGCTTTCACTTCAYCCTGTGATCTCTGACTCTTATTTTTATTGAAATATACCCATGTTCCTGTGTACAAGAAGGCTTTGCAAGCAATTTAGCTTAGGAAGAAAACCCTCAATGCATGAATGTCACTTAACATTCAAGCTCAAGACTGGGTGCTGCAGACTTTACCAGATGTTCCTATCCAGCTTGGGAACCCTCAGAATTTTGCTKGCACCTCTGGAAGTGACAGCTTCTGAGTGACAGTGGATTTGCTGCAAGCAATGGGAGACGCCACCTCCGAAGGGTGGAGGTGCCAGTGAGCAGCTGCTCATGTGGTTTGCCAGGGTATGGCAGCAGCTCCCCRCTTTCTACAAAGAAACTGGAATTGCTCAGCTAAACTGGACCTGGGGCCCACCTATTTAGAAATTCAAAACAGACTGAAGGAGATCAGCCTTGGGAAGTGAGGATGTGAGGTTGTAGCAAGGCAAGAGGCTGCCTGTTGTGTAGGCTTGTTCTGGATCTGGGTAATTACAATAATTAGAGAAAAAGAAAAGATTAACTAGAGGAAAAAAAAAGACACAAAAGTTAAAGATTTAAAAGAGGAAGAGAATGCACAGGATATTATGTGAAAATATAATTCAAAGTACAAAAGCAGCCTACTCACATTTTGAAACAAACAAAAGGAGAGCAAAGACTATGGTTTGGGGAGTTGTGGGTTTTGTTTGTTTTTCTATATATTGTTTTTTTTTTTCTTGTAATCTGCTCCAGAATGAGCTCTAGCCTCGGCTCTGTGCTCCATAGATCTGATGTTAATAACAACATTACTGTTTATTTCTGTGGAAGGCTCCCCTGAATGTCTGTAGTCTCCCAGCTAAAGATAATCAGATGTTTTGTCGGGATTAGCCAGACTGGTGGCCTCCAACAAGCCCCACAGCAGTCAGGTTRCAGTGGAGTCTGCCCAATTCAAGTCTTACTCAGCTGGAGAAGGATGGAAAAAGGGCTCTGATAGTGGAAATATTATGTGACCTGTGGTGGAGTAGGGAAGCAAAGCAAAATGCAAAAGGAAACAGAACTACTTTGAAGGCAACCTGACATTCAAAATGAACCCAGAACTTGTGTCCAGCAAGAAATTTAGGACAAAAAAGAAAAATGTTTGTTAGCCTAGAATTTTAAAAAGGCAACATGGGGTCTAATACATGGGGTATGTGTTAGTAAATATGGAAAACTGGAATGAAAGGTACTCTGTTATGTCCAATTACTTTGTAGAAAGCAGTAGACCTTAGAAACAAAATTCAGATATATCATGTATTTATCCAGAATTCAATAGCCCTCACAGAAACAAATACATATAGCCATTTTTGCAAAGATGCAATTATATATGTACATATGTAAAGTGAGAGCATTTAACTCCTATTCCTTGAGAGAGGAGAAGYAGAATTCAGGTATCAAATTATCCAGACCTCAAATTTAGGATTTTACCATTTCTCAAAAAATCTGAAATATGGTTCACAGGCTGCTATTCAAATAACATCAAAACAAGATTTTGTTTCAGTTTTAGTGAAAGCAGATGAGGATTCCCATTACATCTGGTTTGACTTTCTTCCCTCTAATAAATGCTGCCATTTGATCCATTTCAATGATGTATAATCTTGAGATGTCACTCATACAATATTTTCAGAAAACAGCATAGTGGAGATGTGACTTTGAGATGTGTTATTCTTTATTTCTGATGCAGGAATTTGCATTTCAAAATCAGAAAATTCAAGAAATGTAATTAAAAACATTCAAGAAGCATGGTTGTTCTTCTTGACAAAATGTACTAAGAATCCAATATCAGCTGTAAGGGAAACATCCATTAAGATCAAATGCATCTCCCTAAAGGGGTGTCCTCATYAGGGCCTCAAATGAAGGTGAAAATAGGCTCACAGTTTGGAAATGCAGTAACCTCCACCATCACCTTCTTCTCCCATCACTCCTTCTCAACAGTGATCTCAATTATTTGAATTCCAAATTATTCAAGATTATATGTTTGGACTTCATCATGCTTCCAGGGAGCAAACAGGTAACCCCCGAAAATTAAGTTAAAGGCTGAGGGCAGTTCTCAGAGTTTTGGTTTTTTTTTTTTTTGTTGTTGTTTGTTTGGGGTTTTTTTCATGCTGACATTGGTATGGATTTATTCCAAAACCAGGCTAGAATCCTGTCTTTTCACTCCATARTAATGAGCCAAGAGAGACGCACAGACTGTCCAAGAAGCAAAGTGGCAACATCTGCCCCCACTATTCTCAGYTTGAGACTGATTTATGAGTCACCTCGTGGGATGCATATGGGATGCATACTGCCAATTAGCCAGYCATTAGGCTTGTGCACCGGGCCCCAGAGGCCAGATTTACCAGGAATTTTGCAGCGTTCAAGACCTCAGATTCTTCCTCAAGAATGTTTATGAAGTGCTTGAGTGCAGACAGCTGAAGGAGCAGCACATACACA